TGTAATTTATTTATACTCATTTGATATTAGTGTAATACTAAATTTAAAATGTCATATTCATACATATTTCAAAAATATAATATTACAATAGGAGTCTTATTCGTTGATAAGGAATCATTGTTGCTATTGATCTCAAATGAGCTTTATATTAAACTCAAATGAGTATACGCCTAAAAAATGAACATACAAAAATGAAGATTGACTGATTGAGCACATTATAAATGAGTTTTATGTTAAACTCAAATGAGTATAACACCCAAAAGGAATGAGCACACACAAATCAATTTTTTAATTTTTTGATACTCAATTTGTAAGTTATGTATGCTCATTGGATATTGTTTTATATTCATTTTAAAAGGTTGCACATTTCAAACATATCACTCTACATCACATTAGATTCACATATTGAATTTTAATTGAAATTGACTATAGACATAATTTAAGACTTTAATAATTAACAGAAAAAAAATCAATAAACAGAAAGTGATATATAAGGAATGAAACAGAGATCGCTGATATTCAGTGTCAGGCTCCTAATAGGTAGAACCAATTTAACATGTTCAAAAACTCCCATCATAATATCTAGCTAGTATTATTGGTAATAGTGACGGAGATAGCTAGTAATTTATCTTACGGAGTATAAGTTTCCTATTTTAACCTAGTTTACACACATTCTATAAGTAATTATGAGTTATTTCCGGGAGAGGGGTACTTTCTAAACTTATTTTCCAAAATAGGGTACTTCTAAACTTATTTCCCGAATAGGGGTACTTTTTCCTTGTCAGCGTGCCATGTCATCATTCAAGTCAAATGCCACTTCCACATCATTTACCTGTCACATCAAAGGTCCATGTCATCCAATGTATCATTTAAAAATTAAAAGAAAACTGAGGTGAAGGGGATTCGAACCCACACACATGCAATTGAAATTTTGAATCTTCAACCACTAGACCATCAGAGCCACTTGATACAATAACGTATTTGGACATAGTTGTATTCATATTAAGCTGGGCTTGTTTAAGTATTATAATTATTTCTATTATTATTATTATTATTATTGTTGTTGTTGTTGTTGTTGTTGTTGTTGTAGATACTATAATTTTTATTACTGTTGTTATTATTACTATAATTTTTTTTCTGACTATTATTATTTTTATTATGATTATTATTACAATTATTATTATTATTATTATTATTATTATGATTATTATTATCATTATTATTATTATTATTATTATTATTATTATTATTATTATTATCATTATTATTATTATTATTATTATTATTATTATTATTATTATTATTATTATTATTATTATTATTATTATTATTATTATTATTATTATTATTATTATTATTATTATTATTATTATTATTATTATTATTATTATTATTATTATTATTATTATTATTATTATTATTATTATTATTATTATTATTATTATTATTATTATTATTATTATTATTATTATTATTATTATTATTATTATTATTATTATTATTATTATTATTATTATTATTATTATTATTATTATTATTATTATTATTATTATTATTATTATTATTATTATTATTATTATTATTATTATTATTATTATTATTATTATTATTATTATTATTATTATTATTATTATTATTATTATTATTATTATTATTATTATTATTATTATTATTATTATTATTATTATTATTATTATTATTATTATTATTATTATTATTATTATTATTATTATTATTATTATTATTATTATTATTATTATATTATTATTATTATTATTATTATTATTATTATTATTATTGTTACTATTTCAATTCTTGTTGTTACTAATGATAATCATAATAATAATAACAACAACAATAATGATTATAATAAGATAGTTGAATATGGACAGAGAGTGTAAAAATATGAAAGAGAAGATAAAAATAGATAAATTAAGATAGTTGAATATTTTATAATGGGTAAACTTACGAAGTGTATGAAACTTTCAAATACAGTCAAAAAGGAAAGTCTGGGAACTTTTAAATACGGATGGAGTAATAATAATAATAATAACAATAATAATAACAGCAATAACAAAATAATAATAATAATAATAATAATAATAATAATAAAATAATAATAACAGTAACTAAAATAATAATAGTAATAATAACAACCGTAATAATTATAGTATCTCCAATTAGAATAACAATATTATAATAATTCAACAAGTCTGAAACAATATGAATAGAAGTATATGTAAATACAAGATTCGGACAAGATGTCAGTGTTGTCTGGTGGTGGAGAGTTAGAAATTTCAATGAGTGATTGTGGGTTCGAATCCCCTTGACCTCCAATTTTGTTATTTTTAAGTGATACATAGGATTACATGGACTTGTGGATTTGACTTGGAAGATGACGTGGCGGATTTGACTTGAATGATGACGTGGCGGGTTTGACTTGAATGATGACGTGGCACGCTGACAAGGAAAAAGTACCCCTATTCGGGAAATAAGTTTAGAAGTATCCTATTTCGGGAAATAAGTTTAGAAAGTACCCCTACTCAGGAAATAACTCAACTAATTATACTAGTGGCAATGTGGCATAGTCGGGAGAAAACGGTGAGTGAGACTGTAAAAGGAATTTTCGAATATATTTTGTACACATAAACGAATTGCTTTTACCGAATGGTTGGCACAGGCTACTTCCATTATCATTAGCTATGTAGTAGTAGAAATAAGAACTTCAAATGTTAGTCTTATTTATAAAAAAAATGTTGAAAGCGATCTATCTCTTTATATTTATAAATTTGGTCACCATATGATAACTTTTTAAGTACATACTGCCTATATGTGTAGCACACCCCATGGATGATCAGCTTAGCAGCATCAATACATTATCAAAGTAGGAGTAGACAACTTTTTCACAAAAGCACAAAAATAAGTCAAATGCGAATAACTTGATAAAGTCCAAATAAAATTCTATGAAGAAGATTTTTTTTTTGCAAAATGACCTCTCGCGTAGTGGTAAATACTTTCCTTATTCTTGCACTTTCTAGTTTCTACACATTCAACTTATATCTTACTTTTCATCTTGAATTGCTAAAGTTAGTGGAAAGCAAGCTTCACAAAGACTCCATCAACTCTCTGCACAAAGAGAAGAAATTTGATGTAACAATCTCTTTTTGAATATTACTTTAGAGAAGTGGAAAGCAATCATCATGCACGTATGATGCATGTCATGCAATGAAGAAAGGGTACACCGTACACACAATAATAAACAATAAATGTATGAATGTATCATAGATTAAAGAAACCAATCATATTCATCACCAGTTATATTCATATAAGAGAAGCAATACCCTACAAAGTGGTCGTATGTTTAGAGAAAATATAGAAGAAAATCCATATAACTCAGATTTTGAAAATGTAAAATGAGAGTAATAATTTAACATTTTTTTTTTCAAAAAATAAATTTCTGATATACTAATAAATAAGATGTAGTAAAAGTAGAGAATGTGAATAATGTAGAATAACACGTTGCACTTATTTAAAAACGGGGTAGTATAACATAATGGCAAGATCATGTAAGTGTAAAAATGAACATAAATTACCACGATTAAAGTTAGTTGTACATTTAAGGGGTCAAATTTTTACAAACAACCATTCTTTTAGTTATAGATATTCTATTTTATTCTAAATAGGCATGGCATGTGGCTGTTTGACGAAAGTGCGTGACCTTATCTATTTCTGAGTTACATACATGAGATAATAAAACATCTAGGAACACCGAACACAGGGAAATGTCAAGTGAGCTAACTTAAGTGCGTCTTTGAATTTAGGTTACGATGGTTATTCTCCTTTGAGGCTTTGCATGATACTAAGTGAGTGTTAGTTTCAGTGTTTGTAACAATTGAAAAAATGTTTTTCAGCTTCTAGTTTAAAAAAAGTTGAAATTGGTGTTTTCAAATACCTGCTAGGGATGGCCTCGGGCCGGTTCGGGCCCGGTTCGGGTCTGGGCCCGGTCAGGCCTCAGGTCTGTTTTGTTGGGCCCGAGCCCGAACCGGTGGCCACCGGTTCCGGATCTTGTTCCGGGCCGGACCGGGACACCCGGTTAGTTTATGTTTTTTCCTTTTCTTTTCTCCCCCCACCCCCCCAAACCCCCCAAACCGGTCCTAAACATCAAGCCCAACTCAATAAAGCCCAAAAAAATGAAAAAAAAAACAGTTTTTGGCCTAGACCCGGGCCCGACCCGGCCGGTTCGCCAAAAACTGTAACCGAGCCCGGAACCACCCAAGCCCTCGGGCCTAGGCCCAAACCGGACCCGGACCCGGAAAATCGGGCCGGTCCCACACAGTAGCGGGCCGGGCCGGTTCCCGGGCCGGGCGGCCCGAACCGAGGCCATCCCTAATACCTGTTTATGCTTAAAAAAACATTTAAAAGCTAAAAATTGGAAGCTGGTATATAAATGCTTCTAACTAACCTGGGTATTTTGTAATTTTATCAATTCAAGACCTAAAAGATAGATGAATTATCAATTCAGAGCTTGAAAGATGAAATGTATCGGTATATGATCCGAATGATGGAAAACTATCAATCTAGGACCTGACATTTTATAAGTTTTTATTTATTAATTTTTTATTAATTAATTCTATTGCTAGTTTTTTATAAACTTTTCTTCACAAAAGTTTAATTATATTTATTAGTTGCATAAAACTAAATAATATTTAAAAACATTAAAATAGAAATAATAATAAAATTCACGACAACTTGGGTCCCGGATTGATAATTTTCAATCATTCAGGTCCTAAATTGATAGTTTTCCATCATTCGAGTCTTATATTGACACTTTTCTTCTATGAGGTTTCGCATTGATAATTCATCTATCTTTCAAGTCTTGATTCGATAAAATTCCCAAAAGGTATCTCTTGAAAGCATTACCAAAATAATCCTTTATCGGGTCATACAACTTTTGTAAAGATACTTTCGTAAAGAAAACAAAATTGTTTCTACATATAGGGTTCAATCCAAAATAACCTTTACAACATCATAATCAGAGGAAAGTAGAACAAATCTAGTACTTCCTATTTCCTAAAGCACTTGTTAATCATAAACTGAGCTTCAATGTGCCACTATTGGCTCTGCTCTCACCACAGTTAATAACAAAATTATGGTTTCCAAGTTCAAGTTTCCAGTTAACGCTCAAAAATTTCCTTAACATGTAAGATGACATGGAATAATTACATCGCTCATCAAAAAAAGGAAATTTTAGAGTCATGCACCCAGCCAAATTTGAAAATGATATGTCCTCTACAATCAATCCAGTTAGATTACATCTTATTTACAATGGTCAAAAGCCCTGGAACCCTGCATAAACAAAGGGGGAAAACATCACGAAAAAACGGAACAATTTATATATTCTGTGTGAACTATGAGATTCTAGTTGACATTGGGAAGAGTAGAGAGACACTTATTTACAAGACTTGCTTCACCCTTACGTTATATCTTTATCACTTTTCACAAAGTTTCTGTACAGGAAAACATATTCTCAATCTAGTACAACAGTTGCAGAGTATTTATTTACTATGTTTAATAATAATACACACAAAGACAAGCAGGTACCTCAACTTCTCCAGACCACCTACCAAACCGGGCACATGTTAGGGATCTACCTATATTAGGAATTGGGCCTAATAGACTGATAGGAATTGGGCCTATTAGAGCAAGAATAATAATAAGTGTATTAGACTAGTATAAATAGAAGGAAGGCTGGGAAGGGAAAGCAGGCTTTTGGACGTATTATCTGGGACTTGGGAAGATCGAGACCTTTTCTCTTTCTTTGGGGGGCTTCGGCTCAATTGGGGGCTTCGGCCTTGGATTTCTGTACTGTTCATTTTCTTCTCTAATAAAATCAGTTTGATTTCTTGTTCTCTTTCTGTAATTTGTTGTGGAATTCTGGAGGTTTCTATCATTGGTATAGAAGCGAGTCGTTCGCTGGATGAGTTACACGCTCGCAAGGATGGAAAGACGAATCAACAAAGTTGAGGAAAATTTGGTAGAATTTGGAAGGAATATGGATAGAAGTCTGCGGAAGTTCCAGACGGATATGGAGGCAAATCTGGCTGTGATGGAAGCCGCGATACTAGCTAGCATCGCAGATGTGCAGAACAGACTTCAAAGTCGGTCGCGAAACCGATCGCATGTGTCACAATCATCACATCGCGACTCTCACCATCACACGCGAAAGTCAGCGAATCCAGAAGAATCCAAAGAGAGAAGGCATCACAGAAAATCTGACGACCGAACGAGGGACAGTAGGCGTCATCCGCTATCGCGAGCAGAGTCGCGATCTGTTTCTTATCAGAGTCCGCAGTCGCGAACTTCGCATCAATCTTCGCATAGTTCTTGGCACCGCTCTTCGCGTACCTCTTCTCATCGCTCTTCTCATAGCTCTTCGCATCATCATTCACAGAATTCTTCACCGGCTATCAGTTCGCGTCCAAGAAAGACAGGAGTGAGAGAAGAATCTTCACCTTTGTCGCTGAGCTATTCTTTCAGTTCACATGCTTCTTCACTTGCGGACTCTCACCGCTCGTCAGCACACAGATCATCATCGCTTGTGGTTCCACACCGTTCACAAGGGTCATCGGCTTCAAGAACTTTTGACATAGGCGCATTAGAAAAAGAATTCCAGGGGACCCCACCAACAAGAATGAACACAGAATTAAACCTGGTGGTCCCTTCAGTTACAGAATCAGACTCTGAAGAGGAGGTTAATCCATCTATGAGATTTTCTTCAGACAATAAGGAAGGTTTAGAAATACTTAAACCAATTCAATGTTTACCAGATAATAGTTTGGAAGGACTGAATAAGATTGATTGTTTCACATTTGATGTTGTTACTTCTATAAAGCATATTCAGAAGGAGTTGAGCGTGCAAATTATGGGGAAGTCAAGTCCTATATTTCAAGGGAAGGAGGTATTTCTTGTAACTGATGCGATTAGAGGGATAAAATGGTTGATCCATTTGGGACAATCTGAAGGTATTATCCTTTTCCTTACAACTCTGGACAGAGGATTGCAGAGGGGAATGGAGGGTTATTCTTTTCCTGTCATAGAAGTTTTTTGTTTTTGGAAAAATCGCAAAGGATGCTGCTACCTCAATTTGGATTCTATGCTTCATGATTCCTCCAACCTGAAGAATAGCAGCAAAGATTTGAGTTCTTTTAGAAAAAACGAACTTCCCTCATCTGACAAGAAACGATGGAACCAAATAAGTAGGGCTGATGTACTTGATGATGCAGGAGCTGATTTTGTATTCTCAGCCTCAAAGTGTTGCTTGGTTTATGTGTTTCTTTATAGTAGCAAAGATTGTACCATTTTGAAAATGGACTCTCCTTTTGAGAAATGTGCAGTGGCAGAGAGTTTTTGGTGGGGGATTTCTAGGGAAGTGGTAGGGTGGCATTATGTTGGGTGTACTCAAAGTGCAGCAGTGGATGACATTGCATTATATTACTGAAAAGCATGATAGAACCACAGAAATTTGATGTCAAGCCTAACTCAAAGGGAGAAAAGTCAAATGGAGTTGAGCAGGTTAAAAGGGATGAGAATCCTGATGTTCAGGACATGAATATAAATTCTGCTGTTGTTGTAATGGATATACCTCAGGAAAGAATGAAAATATGGTTGGCTATTGAAGGCCTGAAGACTAAGAAAGTGAAAGATACTTCACCAGAAACATTCTATGCTGCAGAAACATCTCAGAGATGTGAAGATCTAATACGGAAGCTCTTTGCTCGGAAACCAGTGAGATATTGGGAAGGTAGAAGTGCAAGGAAGAAGAAGGGGAAAAAGATCTTGGCTGTCTCCTACCGCCCACCTTGAGGGCAAGGTGGATGTTTAGGGAGGGAGTATTGTTAGGGATCTACCTATATTAGGAATTGGGCCTAATAGACTGATAGGAATTGGGCCTATTAGAGCAAGAATAATAATAAGTGTATTAGACTACTATAAATAGAAGGAAGGCTGGGAAGGGAAAGCAGGCTTTTGGACGTAGACTTGGGAAGATCGAGAGCTTTTCTCTTTCTTTGGGGGGCTTCGGCTCAATTGGGGGCTTCGGCCTTGGATTTCTGTACTGTTCATCTTCTTCTCTAATAAAATCCGTTTGATTTCTTGTTCTCTTTCTGTAATTTGTTGTGGAATTCTGACCTGCAGTAAAACACAGGGTCAATAAGAGCCAGACAATGATTTAATTTTCAAGGTTTTGGAAAAGAAAATGTTCCAGTTTTGGTTCCAAGACTATCAATTCAATTTCACATCAGACCCACGAGTTCCATTTGTTCCACTTTTAATGGACACGTATTTCTTGCTCCTGATCACTTATCTAGCAATAACTTAATAAAAATTGTAATCGCCGGATTAATGATTCAAAGGACCAAAGGTTGCACGAAATCCAATGTCGTGCACAAGGCTAAGAAACTAAGGCCATGCACCAAAACTGAAAATGACCCATATTCATACTACAAAGATGTAAACATTGTTTTAAAACATTCCTGTAATCCTTGTGGTTTAAAGCATGAATTTCTATTTATTTATATTTTCATTCATCGGGGGGGGGGGGGGGGGGGGTAATACCCGACATAATTCTGACACAAGTTTTCATGTGATGTTGATTGTAGAATAAGCTTTTGTACTTGCGATTTGACTGATAAACCATGATCGGATTCACGGATCTCTCCAGAAATCAAGGTGCTATGGCCCGCCCAACACATGCTGTGCAGAGCTGATAGGTGGAGGGGAAGTAGAGAAATCACGCCCGGTGAGCTTGTTGCTCATTCTAGCCATTACAGCTACAACACACTCATTCAGAACCTCATTGGCATCTCCAAGTTGGCCAACTGCCTGCATTAAACAACAAAAAGTTACATATAGCAGTGTGTAGCGTAGACATTTGAGAAACTTCATAAGGATAAGTAGAGAAACTTCTCGAAGTGCATGTACATATGTATATATTATATCTATGCCACCTGAAGCAATTCCTTCTCCCTGGCACCTCTTTGTGGTTGAAATAGCTCATTGGAAGCAGATTCCTCACTGTTGACTGCAGCAGGGGTGTGCAATGTAGACATTTGAGGAACTTCATTGAAGTTGAAAAGCCGCCAGTTTATAATTGGAACTTGGAAGGTTTATTTCCTCACCAAAATTGAAAAGAAGTGCTCTTCTCTTCATTAATCAATTTACTCTTGTGTGTCTTCAGAACATTCATTCACCTCAACTGAGACATTAAATTAAAAGTATTGAAGGAAAACAAATAATTTACCTCCATCATAGCCAGGTAAGAAAAGAAAAGAGAGAGGAGTGGGGTTGCAGATGCAAACCAATGCAACAAGCTCTGTAGCCAAACATTTTCTTGCTCTGTCAACATATTCACGCGCTTCATCATACTGGAAGAGAATGTGGAATAAAAGTTGAATACCGGCCTCAAAAGTCAAAGAGCCCATTTGGTAATATACCCAAATCGGCTGTATTGGCTGATTTATGAAGTTCTGGGTGAAGTGGCTTAATTGGTTGATTCTGCTGATTTATGAAAAATATATTTAAAATAAATTTTATTAACAAAAAAAATAAAGAAAAAAATAAATGAAAAAACAACTAAAATGATCTTCTACGGTAACTTTAGCCGATACAACCAGAAAAGTAACTTCAACCTTACTTTTTCTTATTATTACACAACTCAACGCACGAAATCAAAAGTTACGTTTTGGTGAAAAAGTTGGTTGATAAGCCTGATAAACCGAAAAACAGGGTCACCAAACGGACTAAAACTAATATAGATCATCAATCAAGAATACCTTTCCCCTGCAAACAAGTAGAACAGCCCTTAAATATGCTCCACTACTATATCCATCACAACTAGTAGTAGCATTTCCAGACACTCGAAGTTTAGTTTCATCACCATCATCAAGACGAGACACATATTCTGACATCTGATCCCATTCACCCATGTTCCAAGCAGCACTTGCAGCCTGGATGAATATAGTAAGAACTTTCCTGATTTCCTAACATATTTTATACAACATTTACATTAAAGTTAAATGCAAACCATTGGCGCCATTTCCAATCGAGCAGCTGATTCAGCTGAAGTCCAGTATTCCTTGCAAAGATTGTTAAGCTCTTCCCATCGTACTAAAGCAGCAAGGCACCACATTCTTCCTAATAGAAACACATCGGCGAAATCCCATCATCATGACAATTTGAACAAATAGAACGAAAACATCAACAAACTAGGGTCAATTGAATAGTAAAAATTAGTTAACACTGCATCTCATGCAAAAACTATAACATAATTACAAGTTTTAGACCTTTAGGCAGCCTTCTGAAGGAATGAGTTGAAAATTCTAAAACCTTCACATTATAGATTTTTTTACTTGAGTGGAAAATATCGCATGAGAGCAATTTTTGTTGAGAGTCATGTGACTCACATTCTGCTACAATTTCATATATTAAAATCAAGGTAGATTCTATGGTACCCATAAGGTACCATACCTTTGTCCAAATGGACCAATGAAAATGTAGCAGTTGAATTATTTAAATCTAAATTAAAAATGATAAAGTAATGTAGTCCAATCAAATGAATGGTAGGTATGGTACCCCATTTTTTAGGAGGGTACCGGAGTAATCAATCCCCGTATCATGGAACATGAGAGTAATAACAATATGGAAAAAATGAACTTGAAAATTGCAACAGAGCTGAAAGTCCATTCCAGAGCATAAAGCTAATTAAGGAAGAAATCAGGAGAAAAGATGGGCGAGAATAAGTTGAACATAACAAGAAACTAAAACCATTAAAGAATAATTCTAGAATAGTTACTTTCCAGGCATCACAAAGTACATACAAGTGGGAGGAGATGTTTTTCTCACGTCTGAGACTGTTTAACACAAAAATCATATACTTAAAAGCCCAGTGAATGGGTAAAAATCCAGAAAGAATGTGCACAAGTTAAACTCTTCTCAAGGAGCAAACATGAAATGCCTGTCAAAGGTAAGTCAAATAACTCAAGTAATCATGTTTCCAGCTAAGACCTATTGAATGAGATATAATATGAGATGGGAGAATAAAAAGTATGAATAAACCAAAATGGAAGGCAACAGCAGCAGCAGAAACTTAAAAAATCAACAACACAGCACGGGCATTGGCATGCAGAATCGAAGAGTTACAAAGCTGGAATTCATGTTTGGATGAAAGTCAGATTCAAGTGTGAATAAGTGGATCATCCATCTAACTAAAACATATGAAAGGAATAAGAAGTAAAGATGTCACATTTAATAGCTTTATATAGTGCTTAATTGTTTTTATAGCTTTCCGGTGTGGGACAAATGCTTTAACACACCCCTCAGTCCGAACCGGGCTGGACAATATCGGGGTTTATAAATGGTCCAAACAAGCTCTTAACAAGCTACCCTTAATCATGGGTACTAAACAAGTAGTCAAACCACAACCGAACTTGGCTTTGATAACATGTGAAGACTCGGGGTTCCATCCTAAAAGGTCAACCTAATAAGAGGAGGAGTCCGGATCTTAATATAACACTTTATTACTTTATAAATTTCCGGTGTGGGACTTCAACACCCCTCCTCATGACTAGACACTTCGCCCGGATCATGTCGTCATTCATTTTTTTGTCGGTTTGTCATTGTCATTTTTTTTAATTGTGTCATCATTTTTCACAGGGGCCTACACCATGGATCGATTTGGCTTTAGTACCATGTTAAGACTTGGGGCTCCATCCTAAAAGGTCAACGCTGATAGGAGGATTAGCCCAAAGTCTCATATAGTGTTTTATTATTTTATAGATTTCCGGTGTGGGACAAATACTTAACATCAAAACAAACGTGTCATTTTTTAACGGGAACCTTAAGCCGGGACATAGGTCGTATTTCCTAAACAAGGGTTAACTATATTAGCTTTTAGCTTTCTGTTTCCTATTATTATTAGGGGTTTTGTGTTTACTATATAAGGGGGCTTTAGCATCAATTAATTCTAGTGTACTCACATTCTTTGTTTCACTCTTGAAATAATAATGGATCCTGAGTTTCATCTTTCAATTGTTTCTAGTACACCTTTGTTCTCTAGATCTTGACCTTGGACAATATCATATACGAGTGCTGTTGACAGCTAGCTAACTATCATCAAGGGTCAACTAGGTCAGCTATACTCACAATTAGAAAAAAATGTTGAAGGAAACACTCACACACACTGACACGAACAAGTAGGTAGACAAACCTTGAAGTTGAACCTAGCAAGAG